CTTTCGGGTCAACAGGTACTTAATATTTCATTTTAAGTTGAAGACAATATCGATTTACGCGTATTGAAAACTCTTTGGGAAAATGTATGTCACTTGACTCTTCCGACCGACGTATGTTCAGTGATCCGTTATTTTAGCGAAGACTGTCTTCGGAGAAGACTATTAGCCAGTATTTATCCATATTACCTCAAAATGTGTGTCGAGGGAGTGCTGTAGGTTTCCATGTTGATTTCAGAGTAATGAATATCTGTCTTGCATCCCCATCCTGGTTGGCTTCAACAACCTCATCTCCATCATGTCACTCTCAGACGTCTAGCTCGTCCCTTCCCATTCAGGTACCACTCGACTTCTTGACAAGGATGCAATATCACTTAGCTGTCTCTTCGGCGTGTGTCCAATCATTTTCTATTTTCTTATGCATATTTACCAGTCAAATCCCTGTAAATGAACACTTGATAATTATGCGTATTTGTTGGTTGATAGGTTTTTGAATAAGGCAGTTAAGAGACAAATTTCATGAGATGATAACATTTCGTAGTTTCTGTACAATCGCTTTACAGCTAACATGGTTCACAATAATAAAATAAAGTTCATGACAATTACTCAGTTAGATAAAAACAAAAGTACATACTAATGACCAATCATATTTAGATAGGTCATGTAGTCCATGGTAGGCGAAGATTGAAGTCTATTGTTTCTTGTACACACAGTTTAGGCTGTATGTGATTAATCCAAAGTGCTTCCATCACCTTCAATAACCTTGAATTAGAGTTACATGAAATAATTGTGAAACAGTCATTAATACTGATTTTGTGACCTGACATTAATAAGTGCTTTGCAATGGATGATGCTAGATTTCTATTCAGATTAATTGCATTGGGATTTTCTATATGTTTTAATAACCATTTTGGAACATGTTCTTTTCGACAACACTGGAACATTCTATTGGTTCTACCTATATGTGTGTCATCGCAACTGCAGGTGAACTTGTAGATACGCGTGAAGTAGTCCATAGAAATTCGTCCTTTGAACGTAGGTACAGGGATCGAAAATGTTCGTCATGTGAGGGAAAGAGATGCGGCGTAGAATGTGTGTTTGATGGCTGACCGAAGTCTTTGTGCTGTGAACTGCATAATTTGATTGCTCTTGAATATTAGGTTAATAAAGATAGCTTCCTTTGGTACAAAAGCTGTCTTTTCAAGATGTAGGCTATCCGTACTGTGACAACTGATAAAGTTTTCTGGATAACCATTAGCTAATAAAACTGAATGTATGTATCGAAGCTCATCCATGAATGTGTAGATCTTCCAGATTGTATAGTATGAGACATAAGTCATTCATCAAATTCAAACCTTCTGGGGTCTTTTTGTAAGTCCAACGTCTGCATGCCCTCTCACACTCTACTGTCTGCTGCCCACCACAGTTAAGAAGATAATCGGTAACAGTAGACAGTCTTGTCTTTCTCTTATCTTCACTTTAAAGGCTTTAGTCAGCTTTCCGTTGTGAATTTCTTGTCATGTAGTGTCATGATGAAGATGGTAAATGTTTTGGGAGAATGCACTGCGTAGTGTTTAAGCAGTTGAAGCAGCAATAACTCTGTTGTAAACCGTTTCAAAGTCGTTGGAGTAGAAGCACAGAGATGACTGCCATTTTAGTCTCTAGAAATACTACAATACTCATAATTTCCGGACTGTAAAATAATAAGGATTTTTTGGTACCAATGTTAAAAATATCAGCTTGTGCAATTCAACTCTACTATTCGCTTTCGTTTTGTCAATTTCATAAACAGAAATTTATGTACAAGACTAACTGAGTTTTCATTAGACACTGCCTAAATCTTGTATTATCTAATCGTACATATTATCAGGATTGAATCGTTTATGTATTCAGTGTACTGAACAAGCTGTACTATTTGTTACTACAGTATAGTTTTGATAGATATTAGGCGATTATAGTTAGAAGGTGGAAAAATTTAGACCGAGACTCCATGCGTTTTGCTCTTAATCAGTTAGAAGTAGTTGGGACCTCAAGAAAACTAATTGTTTCAAAAAGACCTAGGTCTGACAGACACATCCTAGCAACTAATATCAACTTACAGCCTGATGGAGTGTATGGAATTATTACATCACTTACCTTAGTGATTATAATAAGAATCGAACGACTAGTTTCCAGTCAATACACATAGGGCTAAGCAGATAAGCTTGTTACATTTGACTACTGATTCACATAAATTTTAAGACTGATGTGGTTAACAGTGTAAGAAATGTTTCTAGGTTGAAGATACGTTATCTACAGATTGGAATTATTCCAATTCCCTGATAATCTTGTGCATTTGAATGGTTCAACAATATACCTTATAGAACATCAACTAATTTTAATTAATTAAATTTCAAAACAATTTATGAAATGATATGGATTAACTCGCCTTTTCTCTTATTCTTCTTACATGAATTAGGTTTGCTAAAATACGATGCGATGTAATTATTCAAATGAATTCAAGTATGGCTCCGATCTCCTGACATTATGGGAATTAGGAATGAAGATAAACGATATGCTGACAGGCTGTTCAAATATATTAGTGTGTGTCCAGGTACTAGTTCATTCATAATCCTATGTCTTTCGTATGACTTAGTATCATGTTTACAGTGCGTTTATTTTTCGCACCTAGGTACTCGGTAAATAATTTCGGGGTAGAAGGTATGAGACATGTAGCTGAGTCATTCAGAAGGCATTGGATTATGAATGGACTAGTATTCAGACACGTTTATTCTAACGTATTTGAATAGCCTTGTAACATGTCTCATACCATTATGTTTATTTTTTCTATGGAATGTTTAAAACTTCACCAAAATTTAACATTTGTAGTTCACTTTATAGTGTTCTAAGTTTTGTTTTAATGGGTACACATCCGAACAGACTCGAACCCACTTTTGCGCTCTTGTCTTGTGATATTAACACGCACATTCTCTGAGTCGGTAGTTTAGCCATACTAACTAGGTGATTTTGAATATCTTTTCCTTATGTAACCCTTACTTTTTATTTTTGTAGATGTACTGCTCATCGGGACAAATTACTAATTCACTGAATCTTTTTGATTCGCGTTTTGTTATCAGGTAGGGTAGTGATTTAATAGGTAATTAAGCAATCTACGTTTAGTGAAGCTGGTACAGAGTAGCTAATCGATAACACTACCAGTACCTTACATGTTCATTTGAATCCTACTTTTAGGAGAAGGGTATGAATCACTCTCAAAAATAAAGTTGAAAGGATTGTGAGTGAATGAGAAGGTAGGAGTCAAGATAGCCGTAAATATTTGAATGAATGGAATGAATTACTTTTACGTTATCTACTTCATAAGCTAGAATAATTAGTGAAAGCTTCACTTGCTTATTTTTATCAGTCAACAAAACTCATACATAATCCTGAGACTGCAAATCATCATCTATAAAACTAGTCCTTTTAATAGGATGTCTTTATTTTATCAAATATCCCAGACTTCGCTGTGTCGAGATAGTTGTAATTCCAGCTTTAGTTTTTGAAAAACACTTTATAAAACTGAATGACAATGAAAAGTATGGAAACATGTCACACAACATGTAAATATTTTGAACCTTTTCGGTTTCTAAACAGCTTTAAAAGTGAAGTCATGTTAGAGGAAGATGTGGATGAACTGTGGCTGTGACAGATGTATGATTCATTCTTCTCCGGTTGAACAATCACTCCTTGTGATACAGTCATCATTTTGGTGATATTGTAAACTTGGTGATAATAGCTATCTGTAATTTCTGTGAAAATCTATATATACGAATTCACTACTGTCCTCTTCAGTTCACTTTTCCTCAGGTCCCTTAGTTTCAGACTTCGACTGTTGCTCAGTCTAATCTTAGTCCATATCCCAGACTGAAATTCTTCAGTCACTAAGTATTGGCATGTTTCTTTACTATTTCCTTTTGTATTTAGCCTCAAATTCAGTGTCCTTTTGCTCAAATTTTTCTGGTTGTTATTCAGTTCAACAGCTTTTACTTTTTTATTCAAGTGTTGGTCTGTAGGGATTTGATTGGTTACAGGATTTCATCATGAGCTGACATCAGTTAGAGAACCACTGGAAAACCTGGGAGTACTGGACAGCTGTTTCGTCCTAGTTTAGGATTCTTCATCAGTACGCACCCACTGGGATTCGAACCCAGGACCTTCTGGTTACAAGGCGAGCTCGTATACCATTAAGCCACTGAGATACCATCCAACGGCCCATGAATTCTAACTTCTGTCAATTCACGACATAGTGCGACCCCTAGCCACATCTTGGATACTTTGTCTTGATAAGAAATAGTAATAAAGGGATCTTAGATGTTGGGTTCCGTTCATTTCGATGATCTGTTAAGTAATTTCTCATAAAGTGGCATATTTTTAAAATTCAGACTAGTCAGACTAGGATGATCAGCTATTAGACTATCGCTTCATTAACTTGAAATCAAGCTGATTAGAGATTTGTCGGAAAAATGTAAACTTGTTGTGGAATGTCTCTCTTTAAACCATAGTAATAATTATTGTCTGGTATTATATTTTTATTCTTCAATACCGTCTTTAGTCACCACAGATGTAGATATAAATTAATATACTTTCTACTGTGATAAAACTATTTTTGTAGCTTCATACTAGATTCTCAAAACAGAAGGACTATTAACTGAATTAAAGCACAATGATGAATGAGTAAGAAGCTGCAACTAGATCTTTTGGAATCAAGTTCGTTTTACAGGATGAAACTGATATCTGGGCATAGAAGTGAGATTGTGAATCTATAATATGTTCATTTGAAGAACATCATCACCACTGTTTCAAAGTGCTTTTTCTGCGAATCAACTCCCTTTATATGGTGTCATCAACATTTAATCGGCAACGTTCTTTTCTGGTATCGTAATAATCGATAACTAATTGATTTACAAATTTGGGTGATATTTGTCTGAAAAGAGATTATCCAATCTTGACAAATGGTTCGCTAATTAAAATTGACGCACACTGATGATAGTAATAATAATGGTAGTAGTAGTAGTAGTAGTAGTAGTAGTAGCAGTAGTAGTAGTAGTAGTAGTAGTAGTAGTGGTAGTAGTAGTAGTAGTAGTAGCAGTAGTAGTAGTAGTAGTAGTAGTAGTAGTAGTAGTAGTAGTAGTAGTAGTAGTGGTAGTAGTAGTAGTAGTAGTAGTAGTAGTAGTAGTAGTAGTAGTAGTAGTAGTAGTAGTAGTAGTAGTAGTAGTAGTAGTAGTAGTAGTAGTAGTATAATAGTTGCAGCAGCAGTGAAACCCTGCAATGAAGATGTTACTGGGGGAATTATCAGAAAATTAATGATTAGGTAGCATGACCGGGTGAATCATTATTATTATTATTATCAAGTGCCTTCACTCATTTCATTTTTGTTTGTTAATATAAAAGTATGATATAAAAGTTTCAGGAGATAAATATTGATTTGTATGGATAATCCGTCACATTTGTTAAATTCTGCCACCTACACACTTTTTGTGTTCGTTTTAAATATCATATTTCCATTTTTATCATTAACTATATCATTCATCTCATGTTTTTAAAACAGAAAGCTGTTTGTATTTACAATCTGACTGGTATGCAGTTCAAAAACTTTGCAAATTCGACTACGTAGAATTCTGTCAATGAAATCTGTTGTTACAATCTTTTAGTTTTGACTAAACATCAGAATTTTCAATCTCCATGAGTGTTAATTTGACGTGACGTTACCTTTTTAGTAATATACACTGCTTAAATGTTTTGCTGATGAAGATATATACTTGTTGAGTTTTTTTTATTCCGTCTTGGTTTTTTTAATTTTTCACTTTTCATTTCAAACTCGATGCATTCTCTTGAAAATCTTCTTTCTGTGTACACTCTTATTTGGGCCTGGAGCCTATATGGTGTTTTGAAGTTTGTTTTTTTAGAGCCCTACTTATTCTTCACAGAGCTATGGAAACTAGAGCCTTAGATACCATGTTAGTAAAGTTTATCCCCCTGGTGATTAACACAAGAAGTTTTATTTCCGTTTTCACAAACCAACATAATCAACAATGCATTTGAATCCAGAGAAACTATCTCGGATTTGCATATAGTAATTAGTATTTTAGTCAGTGATTACCAAAATCACTAAGCAAATCTGAATTTATAACACAAGGTACTTCTGCATGGTTTTAAAGTAGTGACAGGCTTAACAACCTCACATGTAGAGCAGGACTGATGTGTTGATTTTGTTCAAGTTGGGTTTTTGGTACTCTTCTGAAATTATTATGCTCTAAATTCCGCCTGTATACTGTGCGTAGTTATTAAAGTTCCACTCTTTTCCAAGATTATTTCACTCAGAATAGGCCTATTTAGAGCCTGTTTCCCTAATGAGCTTAAATAGTTTTTAGGTGTTACCTATTGCTGATGTCTGATACATTCCTTAATCATCCATCTCCCGTCGTTGAGAAGACTTTCGCCGATTTACACTCAATCAGCTTCCGCTCCTGTTCATGTTAGGATTCTCTCGAGATCGATCTAATTGTATAATCCAGTTTAGGTGACACGGTAGAAACCTACTGACATTAACTAGACTTTGGCTGAAGAATATCGACAGTCCTCACTACTGTTTCTAAAAAGAAAGGCTTTTTTACAGAAATTAGCGGTAAATTCATATTTCTATCAAAAAATTTTTCGGATATCCATTTTTGCCGAGCAATTCTCAGATAATTTTAAGTTTCTTATATAGACAGCCGTATTAGCAGATTACTGTAGCTCTGTGGACCAAACACTACTAAACTGTATTAATATTTGTGGGGTACAAAAGTAAAAAAAGTATTCTGACCTGCCGATGTAGGTTTTCTAAATGTGCTTCTTTTTGTCACTTCCTCTTTTTCTCTAGTCATTAAAATGTCTTATCATGAAATACTTTCGTTCCTTTCTCGAATGAACATTATGAAATTTTTCAAAGATGGTCATTGCTTCATTCTCTTCTTTTTCAGAATCAAGAATTTATCATTCGTGTAAAGACGACAGTTGTTTTTACGAGTTGATCACTGATTGATATCAGTTAGAGAACCAATGAAAACCAGGGAGTACTGGACAGTTGTTTCATCCTAGTTTGGGACTCTTTAGCGGTACGGATCCACCAAGAGGGAACGAGCTTACGACCTTCTGGTCACAAGGTCAGCGAGGTCGTAGACTATTCACTCAGCCACTGCGACCCGATCCAATGGACAACACATGAATTCCAAATTATACTTGTATAAATCTCAGAGATATTGAAATTAATAATTCTAATGTTACATTCGTTAAACCAGTGAGAACTTTTTCAGGGAAACAATCAAAGTGAAGAAATAAATTATTTAAATTTTCTTTAAAATTAGTTTTTGACACCAATGTCCTGGTAATCGCTGTTCGTTTTACTAATCAATATGGTTATGTTGACCTTTAACATAGTCTTCTAATCACACCAGTGTTTATTCTCTCACTCCCTAAAGCTTTATTGTTTTTGTTTTTTTCCTTAATAAAAATTCCTGTGACAAGTTTGTGGGTGATCGCATTGTCTAAAATGTGTTGTCTAAATACGTTATGCGTTTCAGATTTATTGTCTTCTTATTTTTTATAGAAAGGTTTAATAATCAATCTCTTTCCACGTAAATTTATTGGATTTTAGAATCTTCGCCCTACAGTGTGATTTTATGTCAGTACATGCACTACGATGGCTGAAACTTGTCTGTATTACCAGTGGCTGCAGAAAATTGGTGATATGGCTCAATGGCTGGCTCAAATGCATTCACTCTTTGTAATTTATCATATTCATTATCTATTGTTCTTCCGTATTACCATTCTTTTCACCTCACACTTTTATTTATCTCTCTTTTGAATCTCTCTTTACTCTCTTCTCTTGCTTTGTGTGCTAAATGGAGCGTGGATACTTGAATTGCTGCACATCTGTGCAGAGTTCTATGTTAAAACTAGTCAGTCAGTCGGGCACATTATTTATTTTACTAGGATTGATGTCTAGCGAAATTTTGGTCGTCAGATATCCTGACTAGACTCAGTCGACAAATTTGAGCTATGTACTTGACCTTATTATCATTGCATGATATTTGATAACTAAAACTGTTTACTAAATTGGAACTGTAGGATTTTTCAACACTACGTATCTTTTCTCTGAGTGAGTTGGTAAATTTAAATGCTCTCTCAATCCCAGCTTTGTCAAGAATCTTATTTAAGGCTTCAGATATTCCTTCTTCATATGACACTTTTACAGAGTCTTTGATCTCTGTTCTACTTGTTTTGCAACTCTCACTTTGTTTTTTCTTAGTGATTTTTTTTATCAGGTTTAATAAACTTCTTTGTAAATTTTGAAGTACAAATATTTTGAGTGGTAGTATTGTGGTGATGTGATACAGACAATGTGTTCCAACGGAGTATGATTCTCACATATTCCCACAATTCAATTCAGCATTATCAACAGAATACAATGTATATTTAATGTAAACCAAAATCACACCCTCAATGATTGGTTAACGAATATTAACTGCATAGATTTAAAAAGCACTTTGATCAATGGAAAATTATACCTTGGGTTCTGTGTCTTGCCTTCTGTTGTAACAGTATCACTATGATATGTTTAACGTATCTTCCATGGTGCGCAAGTTTTACTCTTATGCTGAATTAAATTTTGATCATATCTTGATTCCACACCGTATTTCGGTACAAGTATGGAATTTTCAGCATGTGATATCGGTAGCCTAAATTTTACAGGCCGACCATTGATATCAGGTCGGCAGGGGATCGAACCCCGGACCATGTGCATGGTTGATGAGAGTCCTAACCACTATGCCACCTTTAGTAGCATTCCACTCTAAGCTGTAATAAACATTTATATGTAAAAGTTCTATTTGTATAAATCTCATAGAAATTGAAATAACGTTTTGTTCGTCAAGCTAGTCTGAACTTTCTCAGGGAAATTATCAAAACTAAAATATTAGAGAATACGTCTTTAAAATTTTTTTCCAGTCATGTTTGAGTTATAATCATCAAAACTGCCGATGATTCCCAAACTAGGATGAAACAGCTGTCCAGTACTCCTTGGTTTTCAATGGTTCTCTAGCTGATATCAATCCGTAATCAACTCGTAAAAAACAAAACTAATCCTTACAAACCAACTATAGAAAAAAAACAGAATAACCAAAATTACATGAAATGTGATCAAGATTTGACCTCAAACGTTTTACTGACAATTAACTGTCCTGATAGTTCCACAGACTTACTCTCAGTCTGCTTTGTTATACATTGTAACCAGTATGTGCTTTTACATCAGCCTTTACAAATGTCTACTTTTCACTCAGAGCCTAATTATTTTGGAACTGTTCTGTCAAATCTTAATTAGACCCCTTTTAAAGTGTAATAAGCATTGATAATCAGTCGTTTTCGATACATCATCCAGTATCACAATGTTTCATTGAATGAAATATAAAGTAGAATGTATAAACTGTCATCACGCTAAAAACTATAGATAATCTGATTTTACCTGAGTGTCAATATGCTTTTACTATGTTATGATTTGTGATTATATATATAGCATTTTGTTGCTAATGCACTATCGTATTGAGGGAATAGCATTCAGACGTTAACACCAACAAATACAATGGTTCTTACTGTGAGAATCGTATTCCGTTGGAACACTTTGTCCGTATCATACCATCACATGACATCTATGTTCATTAGGCTGATAGTTGAAACTAAAAGAAAATACGAGTTGCTTCATCTCGCCATTCAGGGTTTCGTTTGAAGTTTAATCAGTCATCCTTGATTATAGGAGGTGAAAATTGTCTTAAGAACGATAAGATTTATTGCGAATTACTAATCATGGAAACTGGCTAACAATTTCTTCGGACAAGAGACGGCAGCAACAGCATAAGTAAATATTAGTTTTGCATGCATTTAAGATCGATAAATGGTTCTAGTTACACCCCTAGAACTGTGATTCCTGCAGATTGTGCTTCGCGCTATCAGATATCATAATCTTCCAATGGATTTAGCTTCCCTTCCACATACTGAGGATGGGGTTTATGTCTTAATCAGACGAATTTTTCAAGTACATGGTGGCTAATTTATTGAAATATTTTGAAATTTCTGTTGGTTATTAGTTGAAACGCTTTGAGGTCATCAAAATCACGTTTCAGTTAATGATGACTAGCAGGGAAATTCAAGACGCATATTTCGCCCTATCTATAACTCATCAGTTGGTTGCTTAAACATTCAATCATTAATAATCCTATCCCAATAAACTAATCTGTATAAAATCGCTATTCAATGAATTGTAAAATAATCGCTTTGTGAATCAATGAATCTTTACTGGTAGACAGAAAGAATTAAGCACCTCTAGTATACGACTGCTCTAAACAAGTAGGAAACACAGTAGAGATATAGAAATTACGATATGACGATATTAGGTCAAATAACAAAGATTACACCTTTCAGCTTTCCCTGCTTCATTTAACCTGTGCATACAATCTGTTGAAAAAGAATCTCAGAGAAATATGACCTTGACTTTTC